TTGTGGGGGGATATGTTCTCCTTGCAAGGAAACGTAAAACAAGGTTTTAAAACCTTGGAAGTGTTTCAAAACAGCAAGCAAGTAGCTACCAGAATTCAACAGCTCTCTGGTGACCATCATGTTCCTGAAGCTCTGCTTGAGTACAGCATGACTTTATACAGCAATTTATTTTTTAACAGCTACAGGGATCGACCCCATGGAACAGTATCCTTGGAGCTGGCACTATGCTGTCTCTGAGCCTGTGAGGCCCCATAACTTCTCCCGTTACATCCTGAGATTGCTCTCTTTGGAGAGCCCAGGCCTGTCCCACCAAGCTCAGGGGGATCAGTTCCAGTGCAGCCACTGCCAAACAGCTTTGTGGGGCTGCTCAGGAAGCAGTCCCTGAAGCAGTGAGGTTTGGACTTCCTAGTGGAGGAGGATGAGGGACCAGCACTGGACTGTGTTTCTCAGAGAAGGCAAAGTGGACCAAGACATCAGGAGAGATTTCTTGGTTGTAAACTAAGGCTTGTATTTGAATGGTATTGCAGGGCAATACACATTGGACTCGAAGTATGCCCTGGGGGGCAACCTAAAGTTAAACCTTCAAGTGTCCTCAGAATGTAAAGGGGTCTCGGGCATCTGCCTCTTCCTGATGGGGAACAGCTGGCTGAAACACTAAGGCACAGCTTGGTGTGAGGAAGGGTTTTCTGCTTGGTGGGCCAGCAAGCATCTGACAAGCGGGAATCTTGTGTTCCCCTCTTGTAGTTGCTGTGCAGAGGTGCAGTGCTGGATGGCACTGCCAAACCTGCTGGGACCCTGGACCACCCAGCATCATGGCTTATTGTTGCCAGACTATATGGAGCAGTCACTCATCAGTACATAGTTGCTCCCCATCAGAGAGTGACACACAGTGACATTTGGATGTGATGGGTAGGCCAGGCCCTGCTTGTTCAACCAAAACATGCAGTGCAGGGTTTATGCTGATTCCATGCTTTTAAGGTGGCTTTGTACTGATGGCAAGGTCTGTTCTGGCATAAATCTTGCCAAGGCAAGGGGTACCCATCCGCTATTTTTAACCAACTTGAGATAGCAGAATGAATTTATATTAGATCAGCTTTTGCGTCACGTGTCCGGGTGGTTTCCCAAATGGGACTAGCAGGATCTAGAGAATGTACTGTTTCTCTTAAACAATGCCCTGCCTAAAAAAAGGCAGGTATATTGATCATCTGCCCTTGTAGAAAGGATGAGGAAGAGTATAAAGAGAAAGAAGAAAGTTTGCCTGTCGGGGATTGATAATGAAGTGTGACTCACAGCCAGAGAGAGCTAACCCTGGAGTGCAGCCCTGGCTCTCCCTGCAGGGCTTTCCTTTGCTTGCAGAAATGGTGGTAAACCCTGGATGGAACTGCATCTGCAAAGGATGAGGAGGGCAGAGGGAGCTTTTATTTAAGGAACCTTTCCAGGAAAACCATCCCACGAGGTTATTCTTTTGCTGTTCAACAACATACATTACAAGAGAGAGGGAGTACAGTATTCTCCAGATTAGGGAGGAGGACTTTGTGTTTTGAACTGATTCAGAGGGGCCCCTCTCAAAGACTTCAGAACAACACTAAAAATAGCTTACTCTGCTAGTACCAAGGAAACTTTTTTTTGGCCAAGAAGTTGCAATCCTATTTTTTATGCCCACTGATTTTAGAAGGGAGAGTTATATGTCCCTTTGTGTTGGGCCTCTTTCTGAGTAAAGCACATTAGGAAGATCAAGATTTCTTTGTACTTTGTTTGAAGAGCTATCAAATAGCAGCAGTATCAGATAATGTGGATTATCATTTTATAACTCTCTACAATTTTATGTGTTTTAGTTACTGGTACAGAAAGAGTTCTGTGGGACATCTGAGTCTTAAAAACAGACACTAATTAAACAAGCAAAGTGTGCTGAGATCTCTGTTTTCCTCAGCCGTATCAATAACAAAATTCTCTCACAGGTCAACACAAACTTCCTCCTCCCCCTCTCATTTGAGCTGTGGGTAATGAACAGTGTAGTGTTTTCATAATCATCTGATTTATGTAACAGCAGGTACACTCAAAACAGAGAAATAATTGGGCCAGGAAATTCACGGTGGCCGTTCCAGTAGCTTTCCAGAATCCCTGAGAAACCACACATCAAATCCCCAGCTTCAGCTTTACACGAAGAAAGCTTCTTTCTCCCTGTGGATCAGTGTTGTTATGAAAAAAACATATAAAATCATAAATAGAAAAGGTAGTCTGTTCAGGGCAGTGTAGAAACATATCCAAGCTGAGAGTGACCCCACTTCATATACCTTCCTGTAGGTAAGGACTGGGAGGAGCATTAATGCCAGCTGAACACACCTTAGAGACCCGAAAATCATTGACTGCTTGCCTAAAGGAATCAGGAAGCCTAACAGCTGACAATAGAAGCATGGAAAAGGGACTCTAAATCATGATCAAGAATACGCCCAGATTATAAAATGTGCCCATATATAGAATACAGGTGAAAGGTTGACAATTTCTTTCAACAACTTTGCTCTTCTGTCGTAAGGGTATTTTAGCTCCTGTCTGGACAGCCAGCTCTGGACTGGGTGAACAGGGTTGTTTTTATGTTCGTTCTCAGTTGAGTTGTTGGCTGCACACCAAATATAGTAACCCAAGAGCTAAATACAGTTCTTGAACCTTCGTCATCCCTTGTCTTATTCATTCCCTTCTTTGTGGTCTGTTGCACGCTCTAGTACTGGGTATTTAACAATACTTGACGTGACACAGAATACTGCAATATTCCCAGGAACAGAGCTCTCCGAGGCATGCAGTGCCAGTATTTGTGCTCCTTCTTGCTGTACTGTTCCCCAAAGCAGGGAGATAAGAATGGGATTATCCCATATCTGCAAGCTACAGGCTTCTCAGACCTTTTTCTCAAGCATCCAGTGCTGGCTAGCATCAGGGACAGGATATTGACCCTTGTTTCCTAGCAAGTCTGGCAATTCCCATATTTCCAGGCTCTGGACAGAAACAGACTGTTTTCTGCTAGAGGGGGGCTCATATTTCTTGCCAATGCTGACAGTCAAATGCTGCTTTCACATTCTCTCTTGCTTCTAATACACAACCTCAGGCTGAAGGTCAAAGGGTAGATCCTGGATGTTCCCATGCAAGGAAAATCAATTTAGATTTACAAAAGACAGAAGAGTCAGTGCAGAAGGTCACCACGTTGCTCTTCAGGTTTAGAAATTTGAACAGGGGAAAGGAGGAGTATGAATGAGTATGAACTGATGGAGCAGGATTGCTTCTGAACTGGCAGAGACACAGGCAGAAGGGCCATCTGCAGTAGAGACTGACTTATGCCACTGTGACAGGCCCTGGACTATCCCAAAATCTCATAAATATTTGTAATTTTACCTCGCTTCATCCCATTGTGAAGCAAGATGTCCACCAAATTTGGATTTCAGGTCCAACCTGAGACTTTTATTTTATGGAGAAATTTTAAACCAGATCACTTTGAATCAAGAAAAGGACTTGGACAAACAGAGAATGACCTGATTCCTCACACCAGGATGAATGAAGATCCTTTTGAGCTTAAAACACTGGGATAAAACTAAAGTTCTGCTCTCTTGGTGTATCAGGGTAAATCTGCTTGGCTTGTAACAGAAAATTTGCCAGAAATTAAAGCAGAGAAATGCTCTCCAAGGGCTTTGGGGGTGATTCTTTGCCTTATAAAGATGCTCAAAGCAAGAGTCACGTAGTTTTTGGAGGGGCCAGGGCAAGTGACTTTGAATGAAAAGCGACTCTGAGGGCAGTGTGTGCCTCCCCTCGGCACGCAGTGTGTGAAGGAGGTATCGACCCTCTCTACCTCAGCCCCTCACTTGTCTTTCTGCTTTCAGGCTGGTGAATGCACTGGAGGGAGTCAGACTGCGTACATCTCACCAGGATGTGCTTATAGCTTGTGTGAGGGATGTTGACAAACTCATGCTGCTCATTGTTGCATTGTGTTCAAGCCAAGCCTCACAAGGGCAGACAGACCGTTGCTTCTCTGAGAGGTTAAAGTCGTCATTTGATGAAAAAGCACCCAATGAGTGAGTTCCCCCCTTCCACCTTTTTACATTTTTGAGCACTGCTCAGTAATATCACCATGCACGGCTTTGAATTTAAGCACCAAGATCCCTATAGATATAGACAGCTTGCAGTTTTTATGCATACAGCAGAACATGACAGCTCCCCAAGGGCCAGACCAGCGCTGCTCTTTTCATCTGGGGGCAGATTCTTCCTGTAGAGTCTAATGCCCCTTCGAATTGAGCAGGGTTACATCAGAAGCAGAGTATGAATCAGGATCTTCGTTTGTCTTTAGGCATTTAGTTCATATTTGGTGTTGCTATAAATAGGTTATTTGGCTGCAATCCTTATTTCCAGATTTTATTTTTATTTTTTTAACCTCAACTACGCTTTTTTAGATCGCGAGCGTGTGATGAATCTAAAAATGTCAGACTTGGAATGGGAAAGGGCAGATAACTGAAGCATGGCTCACTCCTGTCCCAGGGTGCTCACTGCCTGCCCAGTGTGGGCAGAAAAGGGCCAAATGATCAGTCTTGGCACAGTCACCAGGGATTGTTTTGAGTTCCTAGGAATTTAACCCTATGACTTTGACCTTTGACAAGAACACTTAATTATTTCCAGCTCTCCAACCAGGTCATAAACTGGCCCTTTAGAAAAGTTTCCTGCTTTCAATAAAAGACAGCTCTCGGCTCCTGCCATAGCAGAGTTTATATTCTTTGAATGGAGGGGCTTCTTGAATCAGCGGGATACTATGGTTGGGTTAAAGAGTTCAGCATTTGGTTTTGTTTTTAACAGTAGATGAATCTGTGCTCCAAAATGCCATCCTGTGTCCAGATTTTGCATCTCCCAGACTTTTTCTTTTGTTTATTGTTTCCCTAGATGTTGGAATTTGAAATTGTTCCTTTGTGAAACCAGAATTTGTCTACAAAGTCAGAATAAAACCAATTACATTCTTTTCTTATTTTCAGGACATATATATGTATGGATAATAATCAATATTTTTTTCATCCAAATACGCAGCAGTGACTGCCTGGCACTCCTGTGAGCCTTGATGTTTCGGTAACAGTTTATGAGTGTATCCCTTTCCTTGGCTGACACATTGAGCTGCATATGGCACACTTTCTGTACCAGGTAAGAGAAACTTTTCACCTCTTTCTGTAATACTCTCCATGCATTCATTTTGTCAGGGGGACATTTCTCCTTCAGTCCAAAAGTAATAAATGCAAAATGTCAGTTATGCCAGACTATTGAATAAATTGGAACGCAAGACTCCAGCTGCAGCCTTAATGAAGAAGTAATTCATCCCATGCTTTCTCTGATGATTTAGGTAAACACACAGACCTAAACAACTATGGTGCAGCAGGGAGTAGAGACTCTGCCTGGCAGCCTGGCAAGGCTCCTGCTTCTTGGCAGCCCTCAGACGAGCAAGAGGGTTTTGTGCAGCGCTCCGTGCGCACGGCACTCCGGGTAAGGAGCTATTGAAACCAACAAAGCTTCACTTAAATTGATGGTAAGTTTTAAGAGAGAATGTAATTCTGCCTTCCCACTTAACAGCTTTACCAGTAAGTTGCTGCTTTTTCCTTACATGGGGATGTGGTTGGTGGGGACATTCTTTTAAAATGAAAAGGCGGCTCTTGGTACCAAAAACCACTTGCCCACATTTCCAGCGTGTAAGGCAGCAAAACAGAGCTGAAAAACAAACTTATACGGAAACACCTATTTTTAGATCGATTTCCCAGCTTTTGCAGCCCCAGGATCTACCTACGGGATCTGAGGCAGAGCCCAGTGTCCCCTGAGGGCACTGGAGCTGACCCAAAACATTCAGTTCAGGTCCAAACCTTGTTTGTATCTGCCCAGGTGTGAAGCCTGGGGTCAGATCAGAGTGAGGGGTAGCTTGGAATGCCTGCACCCCGGGAAGATCTGGCCAAGCCTGAGCTCCAACCAGAAACCTCTGGTGCCTCCATGCCCTCAACTCTGGATTTGGGATCACTGAGGTGCTGCAACAAGCTGCAGAACCCCCATGAAGGTAAAGTCTGTGAGATGTCACTGAGGAGAGAAATGAACAGCACACTTTCGTTGCCGTGCTGTGAGGAGGGGGGAAATAGAAGTGCATGCATTGAAGATCACCGGTGGTAGTGGCTGCCTTTTGTGGGTTACAGAATTAATTAATTTAGACAGTAGTGTCATTAAACTTGTCTTGAAGATCATAAATCAGCTGTAAGCATCGTTCCTGCTTGGAGGGAATGCCTCATGCCTTAGAGAAGGCTGGAATCCTGCTTGTGACCTGGGAAATTCCAGCCCTTACCCTGCCTCTTGGAGGCTACCAGCTTCCAAGCTGGAAGCTTCCAGCTTAGTTAACTGTGGGAATGAAGCCATAGCTGAGCAAAAGGGGAAAAAGAAATCAAAAATAAAAAAAGGTGAAAAGCTTTACAGGCCACAAGCCTTCAGGAAAAGGGCTGAATTTCAAGATAAATCCATTTGGCTCAAAACACAAATGACATGTTCGTAAAAAGACATAGAATCTCAGTTACTGGAAATAAAGCAGCGATTAGTGGCACTGCTGAAGTCTGTGTCTTGAAAGGTTTGTCTTTTTTTTCATACTTTTGTCCCTTCACAGTCTCCTGCCTATACACAATGTCCTGAAAATGCCTTCTGCTGCCTTACCCTCACCAACAGCATTTTGCAGAAGATGAATTGCATATTCTTTCCTACAAGTCTTTTCTTCAATTCAAGCCTGCAAATGATTGACTTTTTAAATTGCAATTCCCTGCTGCCTGAACCAGATTCTCACCCAGAGGCTACTTTATACTGCTCCAGCAATGCCAAACTGCTAAACTGCTATTGTGGTATGAAAGAGACCTGGACATTAAAAGGAACATTCTTTCATGTCTCTAGAATGTTTTCTATATTCTACAGAAGTACCAAGTATTCTGTTTTCTCAAAATAATAATAACAAAAAAAGCGCAAACTCACCCATAGAATGTTCCTACTCCCCAAATATACCATATGGTATTTTAAATGTCATCTTTCAGAGCCCTTCTTATTGAAAAGCTAGGAAGTTTTATGGAATAAATATTTTCCCCATGAGCTTAAGAAACCAATGTGTCGGGCACTGTATTTTTTTAACACTTATGGTGTGTTAGACCATGGTCTTTTGTGGTTAGGTATGACATCAGGCCACCACAAAGCCATACCAGGAGAGTCTTACAGGGAAAAAGATGTCAACTTAAGAGCTTTCAACATTCAGGGGAATTCAGAAAAGCCAAAACCTGGGTATGTAGAATGATCTGTTGTTATTCTGACAAAGCTAACCTGAGATGACTTGCAAGCCTACATAGTTATAAGAAGTTTTAAGGAATAGATAAGGAGAAAAGAATTACTATTTGGATATTTTAACTTCATGAAAAATATCAGAAAGGCAAGCCAGCCACTGCCCTCCCCTTACCCTCCAGTGAATACCTGATCATTCACCTACAATATGCAGCTCTTGGTGCCTGCTTTGCTAAATGAGAGGCAGCCAAAGTTGCTGACAGGCACTTGGAATCTTGGTGTACCTGACCTGCTACTTTCTTAATGTTTCTATTTATCCCTTCCCTTTATCTGTTATTTTCTTTTCTTAATGCAGCAATGCTTAGACCTTTCAGCCAGCATCATTAAGAAACACATAAGAAAAATAAGTTTTCTTGGAAGACAGATCTGCAAGAGCAAGTGCCAAAACACTGATGGGGAGCTGGAGCACAGTGATGCCTCAGGCTGGCTGCAGCTGATTTAGGTGGGGACGGAGCTTAAGACCCAAATCTGTGTGGATATAATCTGCCATGTGGGGTTTTCTGTTTTTGAGCTGGTTGGTGGAGCTGCCCCAGCTTGTCATGGGTGGAGAGGGATTAATTCCTGCCTTGTGCTCATGCCATAAGTGTTCTTCCACACAGAGTAGGTGGGGAGTCTGCTCTACCTCTGCAGACACAATCAGTTGTTGCCATGAACGAAGGGCCCCTCCAAGACATGTAGCATAGCTTGGGGGGAAAGCAGGTCTTGACCGCTGCGACAGGCAAGCAACCATCTACAGAGACTTGCATCATCTGCTGAGAAGTCATTGCCTCCATGGAGCTCCCAGATCCCAGAGCTGAAGAGGGGGACTTTAGGTTGTTTGGATTTTTTTTCACAGAGCAAACGCCTGCAGCTTTATTTGGGAATTTGGTATTTCTATTTCTAACCCATAAAAGCACTTGTCTGCCTGTAAGGTTTTCTCTTTTTTCTAACTATCCTAATTGAGCTACTGAAAATTATTCCATCTACCTGTAAGCCTTATCTTGGCTAGGACTTACTCCATCCCTTTCCCATCACTTAGCAGCGTGATTCCCACTGCTGCTTTGTATGGTGAAGGACAGAGGCAACGTGTGAGATATCCTGTATCTCCAATAAGCCTTGGAGAATTAAAGCTATGAGCAGCCTCATACTGAGGTGTGCACATGCCTGCATATGTAAGAGAAGTTGTCTCAGATTGCAAAGGCAGCTCTCCTATTGGCATTTCTTAACTGGTAAGTCCTCAGCTTTGTAAGCCAAATAATGTCCTGTTAGCACTGACTCCCATTTAGACATGCAATATAATGCCTTTGAAGGTACAGATTTATTGACACATTTTTTCCTTCCTGAAATTGAAAGGGTATAAAAGGAATTTCAGATTCAAATGTATTTTATAGACATTCTGCTACTCCTGCTTCATGGTCTGCTGTCACCACTGTGCCTGTCCCTACCAGAACAGAGAAACAGTATCAGATGCAGCAGACAGAGCTGTTTCACCCCCAGCATCAGGGAATGCAGTTGGTACCAAGTTTGTCTAATTTCCCTTTTTGAGAAGAGACACATCTTCTACACCAGTGTGTCTTAAGTACTGGAAAATACATTAGTTGCTGGGGCTGGTCATACATGCAAGACTGTTTTAGGTGGCAGTCCCTTGCTACTGGTTTCTATTGTAGCATACAGATTTGGTGTCTATAATCAGTCAACTTAGCAGTATATTTTTACTGAAAAAGTGTTTTGTGACTGTTTTTTAATTTTTTATCTTTGTAATTTTTATGTAACTGCTACAACCTCCTATTCTTAATGTGGCTTTTCTTTGTGATGTGCAGCTGAGATGTATAAACAAAGTTTGTTCAGAAACAATTTTATGTGACCCATCAGGCCATTCAGACTTAACCAGTCTGCCTCGTACTTTGAATACCAACTATTCACAGAAATGTGATCACAAAGAATATATAGCTCAAGAATTCCTGTGAGAAATTTTTAGGGAAATCATTCTGAATTAAAAAGTCAGATTTATTGTTCTTTTCAGCTGTTTGCAGACAATCTACAAACTTGATGAGAGAATGAGTTTGTGGACTTCATTACATGAAATTGTAGCGATTATTAAGTCATATCTAAGCAAAGTAGACTGTGGTTATTAAGTTGAATCTAAACAAAATGGACTGGATTTTGACTTCCTCCTCCTGTTATTGTCCTAGCTAAAAGACTTGTACAAAAGCAGTGATAGCAAATGTCACACAGTGTTTCTTATCAATCCTTATACAGGGAGAGGAAAAATTTTCTCATAAGATTTTATGTTATTCTTTTTTTAGATTCGGCATGTTCATAACATAATAGAAAAGAATATCAGTTCTTCTGACTACACATGGGACAAACCCCCAAGAGCCAATCCACTTGTTTTGCTCTCCACTTTGAACTTCACAATAGCTTGACACTAGTTCAGATATTACCCTTTTTAATTTGCTTTAATGTGCTCAGAGATGGTTTTGTTATTGTTGTTGGCTGTTTATGTGTTGGTTGAGGGCTTGGAGGACTTCTGTGCTGAAAAGCTCTGACATAGGTCTACAGCCCTGCATTGTTCCCTGTTCCCACAGCCTGCAGGAGAGCTGCTGAACCCAACCTGCCCTGCTGCTCTCCTGAGTGAGTAGTCACGGAGGGAAAACTGGGGCTGTAGAAGGTGTGAGGCTTGAAAAAACAGAGGGATCATATATTCTTTGCAATATGACAGAGAAATAAAGTAGAAGAAGCTCCTAGGTGTGCCCTCATGTGCTGCACCAAACAGTGCATCCCATAGCTTGACTCTAGATTTTAAAAGCGCTTTCCTGAGTGGCACTGGGGAGGGATCTTCAGAAACACCTCAAAGCCACGGTTGCATGTTTGCTTGCTCCAAAACGGCCCCCAGCTTGTGGAGAGGCAGGGAAACCCTGTCAGAAACACATGTGTCTTTAGACCCTTCAACAAGGGCTAAATACTCACCATTTGGTTAGTGTGGCATTGGGCTGGGCATGCCTGTCCTTCTAAGCCCTTGAGGGCAGGGAAGTGCTGCTTCCTTCCTCCAGGTTCTTGCAAAACACCATTATTAATGATTGTCAGATACTTATCAGACAGCAATAAGGAACTTTTCCAGGAAAAACCTTTAGTGCACCTTTTCTAAACAACCAGATGATGACAATATCCATGATTTTCAAAGAGAGAGGTGGTTTCCAGAGGCTGGCAGCTGTCCTTGCAGGTGCAGGAACTATTGTGGGGAGCATAATGCCAAGCAGACACAGCAGGGAGGCAGCTTTGTGTGTTGTCTGCAGGTGATATTGTTGTATGCAGGTGGAACAACACTAAAGGAAGAGTTTGTCCTAATCACAGCAGAACCTTTGGGAATTATTGGAGTGGTAAGGTTCCTTGTTCTAGCAGCAAAATGCTCTCTCTCCTGTGTTCTGTGACAAAGACAGAATAAATATTCTGGGCTGAGAATGATACAAAAGGGGCCCTTAAAAGTTGTGCAGTCCCTGGCTTCAGGCCTTTAGCAAGAAATGTCTTCAAGCTGTGTAAAAGGAGTTTAAATATTTTCTATTTAACCTCTTTTCTTTGTCCACAGTCTTCTCATGACTCCAGCTGCTGTATTCATGTGCTTCCCCATCTGGAAGGGAACCAGGAACAGGGCAAGTGAGTTTGTAAGCTCAGAGATTCCCTCTTACAGCACTGGAGAGCAGAGTGAAAGCATTAGCGAAAAACAGCAGTGGCTCTTCCCTGGGTTGTTTTGCCTGCTTTTGATATGGTCTTACCCCAAAAGCTGACAGCTGTTAGCACATGGATTAACATGGTGGTGATTTTACATTACTAATGGCAGGTTGAAGTTTCTGCTTCTGACTGGTCTAGTTCATCAGAGCTATCAAGAAAAGCAATGGATGAAGGTGAAGTCCTTGAACTCTGCATTGTCTAAGATGTGACTCTTGCATCTACTTATATTGGTGTGCTATTATGGATTATAAGCCTCTGATGGTAAACAGAGTTTAGATAAGTACAGCTAAGAAAACTGATAATGGCCAGAAGTAAAAAAAAAAAATCAAAGTTATTAGTTTTCTTTTAGATGAGGAAGTGTTGTCCTTTTCTCTGATGCTGACAACTTTCCCTGGTAGAGTAGCCAGCCTTTCTAAGAGTGTAAATATGACCGTCACTGTATCAAACCTATATTTCTCCTACTTTGTATATTAAACTGTGTGTAAAGGACCTCTCATTTGTATACTGCCCAAATATGCTAAATCTCTATGAAGCTGGTTGAAGGAAAGATTTTACAAGTTATTTTTCAGGCAGTTGTTGGCTAATTCTGGGTGCATAAAACATACAGAGCACACAAGAGCCTTCCATCCCTCCGTTGCTTGCAAGGAAGATGGACTTGGTGTTGTAGAAAAGCATGTTTTCACAGTGTAAGCAACCTGTGGTGCTGTTCACATGAACGTGGTTTAGAGGAGGAAGTATCTTTTTGATGGTTTTTTTCAGAGTCTCCCTCTAAATGGACTTCAATTTTCCATTAAAAACTTGTGGTAAGAATCTGAACTGGAAGGGATGGAAACAGTAAACTAAATTAGGCAACTTTGGGCATCAAGTGAAGTAACACCTGTTGCAGTACCAGTGAAGGTCCTGGGACAAACTTATTTAAAAGGAACATGGAGAAATGGAGCACCTTGCTTATGTACTGCAATCCTCCACCGTCACCACCAAGAGCTTTTGTAATAAGGACTCTGTGAAACAAAGCAGTCACATTTAAAAGTTCTACTGGTAGTTCTCATGGAATTTCTTTAGTTATTCTATGTTCCTGCTTTCAGCAGTTGAGGAGGACAAATACAGTAGACCCATCCTTCACCTCTTCACCTCTCAAACGTTTTGCCTGATAGCATTTTCCTCCATTTTCCTTAGTGACAGTGGTCTTGGAAGAGTCTGCCCCAGAGAAGAGGTCTGGGTAGAAGAAGAGTCAACTACGATGCAGAGTATGGGGTATTCTTTGAAGCCAAGGTTGTGATAATTTGCTCTATCACAGTTTGTGCCTTCTCCCCCAAAGCTCTGCCGTATGTTGTTGTGCTTCCACTGGCCCATAAGCTCACAAACCAGCCCTTCACTGGGGAATGCAAACAGATGGTCTCTTCCAGTGCCTCCTCCAGCCTCTACAAGGCCCCTGTGTCCTATGACATTTCTGTTGCAGTGTTTAGCAGAAGGATCATATGAATTTTATTTAGAATTCTGATAGCAGGTAGGATGGGGCCATTTACATGATAAGTGCTGGCTCCCTGCCTGATGGACCTAAGGACTAATTACAGCAGGAGTGATTGGTTTTGGTTTAAACAAACAGATTGTCCTACAAAAGTTTTTTGTTTGTTTGTTTGTTTGTTTGTTGTTTTTTGGTGTTTTTTTTGTTGTTTGTTTGGTTTTTTTTGTTTTGTTTTGTTTTTTGGTGTATATTTGATAAGGGGGGAAAATGAATAATTAGATGTATTAGGTTTAAAGAATATTAAATTCAAAGCACAAATCTGAAGTTGAAACAACAATCTTCCTTCCCCACCCCAACACAAGGGAGCATCTGGATTTCTGGACTGGAAGGTCACTGGTGGGTGACAAAAGAGACTTCTGTTCTGCCCTTGGCTGCACTTCTTGCTTGCAGGCTGAGGATCCTCAGGCCAGCCTATGTCACCGTACTTAAAAAGGGAGTGTAATGATATTGACCTATTTGGCAAAGGGCTTTGACATCTATCTGTGAAAAAGAGCTGGGGATGAACCGCCTTTGAAAACTTTTAATATTTCACTTTGGTGCGTTACTTCAGCTTGGCAAACGCTACGTGCTAAATTTGGGTAGGTTTTAGTGTTTGTGATTCATTCACAAGGAATTCCAGACTTCTTTAAACTCTTCCCTTATTTGTAGGTATTTGCTGACTAGTTTACTAAGTGGGCTGTTCTGAGGCTGTTTGCTACACTTGACACCACTTATCTGTTCATGCGACTGAGTCACGCACCACAAAGTCTTACACTGGTGTGTGGAAGTTAATATATGGTAAACGGAAGCAAAAGCCCAGCCTTGAGCACAACCTTCAGCTTGGAATGGTGGGGTGAGAGCTCCACCTTCCCACGTCTGGACTTTGTTGGTGTGTGAGTCAGGGCTGACTGAGCAGGCAGCAGTGGGATTTCTGGCTTGATAACAGTGGAGGACAAAGAGGAGCTGTTATCTGGTGAGCACGCAGAAGTACTCTCTGTGCAGACAGGGTTATTGGCATGTAAACTCATGAGCTAAGCACTACATGCAAAAGGTAACTACATACAAGGGTGCTGAGAGCATTTTGTTTGTGGTTACTTCCTTGATAAAATAATTCGCAAACTGTGACAGCTCTTTCCTTTAGCAATTCCTCTTTGAATAATATTTCTAATCCATATTCTGGAAAAAAAATGGAATTTTGAGAATATATCTCATTATTTTGAAACCTCCTGCAGGGAAGAGAGATGCAGTTATAACCTGCTCATGCTTTGTCTTAAGTTGATTTCAAATCTTGTATGTGAACACACTGATCTCAACTGGTACCCAGAGTGACATCTTCCATGAAAACACACAGCTGTTCCTTAATGGGAGATTAGTGATTTAAAGGTGTCTTTTTCTTACTGTAATTGTTTTCTCACTAATGAAACAGGCTTGTGCTATGTGCTGTCATTTACATTACAAATCTTGTAGTGTAATAAGTTGGTACTTTTTTTTAAAGAAAACATACCCTTAAGTTTTATTCATGTTTTTTATTCTGGTTATTTCATGGCTTCAGAATTTGTTGTCCAAGTCCCTAGTTGCTGCAGATGTAGATAAAGATGTGAAAATCTGAATCTCTTAAGGCTCAGGAACGTGACAGAAAATAGGACTCCAAAAGGTCACACACAGTTCGGTTCTGTGGGAGAGGAGAAGGTGAGGAGGAGGAGGAGGAGGAGATACAAGAGCTGGCACACGATATGTGCAGCTAACACTGCTGTCAGTGGGGCTGCTGGCACTGTGTGGCTCTTGGGGCTATTTGGAAAGTTTTCCCTGTAAGGCTCAGAGTCTGAATTCTTCCAGCCTTGTTTAGTCTTTCTGGGCTCTCTTAAAGGTCAGCTGGGAGAAAACATGAATTGGCTCTTACAGAGGGAGAGTCTCCCTGTTTGGCAATGCAGGGAAAGTGTCTAAAGCATGGTGCTGTGAGAGAAATTAGCTGCTTCTGTTTGCTTCCTTCACCGGTAGCAAATTTTGTTCCCTGAATGAATGAGACAGACTTAGTGCTGATTTTATTCCCAATAGTCCTCAGTCGTCAACCTAGAAATGCCTCCAACTCCACACGCATCCCTTCTAGCCCACAACTTTTTCTGGAGCTGATAAAAAACAGAGCTGATGTCATGGGCTATTTTTATACAGTGATGTCTAAAATACTTGATTTTTGTAATAGTGAATGAGTGCACTATACTTTTTCGTAAATTATTTCAATTTTTTCTTTCTATTTATGTAGATTGACAAATAGATGAACTTAGATGGAGCAAGTTGTTTGTTTGGTTATTTTTTCAAATTATTTTGAAGTTCTTAAGCCCCACTTCCACCTATGTCTTCCTTTCCCCAAGTCTCCATCAACAACAAGCACCAGGGTAACCCTGCTAAGGACAGATAGAGCTCTCGAGATGGTGGCCTTTGGTCTCAAAATAACAGCAGGTATTTTTTGCACTCTTACAGCCCCAGTCCTGAGCAGTAATTGCTACAGTGGAGCTGGCACATTCATTCACTGTCCCTGGAGGAAGATGCTGTGGTCCTCTCAGCTCCACATCGTCATGCTGTCCTAGCAGCTGTGATATGCCACCAAAATTTCATGGAGAAGTTCCTGAGATGGTGGCGAAGAGAGTGAGAACTCAGGTGAATAATTGTTATTAACCATGTCAAATATAGGCTGGATACTTTTCCAGTTTCTAGTTTTCTTCTTCTTCAATCTGCTAAAGTGTTTGGGCAGACAGTCTGTTCCCTGTCAGCTCCCACTATTACTTTTTTCCTTAAGTGTAGTATCAAAAGCCCTTGTACCTTTTTTTTTTTTTATTTGTATATTAAGAGTAGCCCAGTCTCTCCTGCTGTGTTTACATTTCTGCCAGAAAATCATGGCTTCTGTCATGCATTTGGCACCCTCTTGCTGCTCACTAGCAACCCAGGTGGGCACAGCACAGCTTCTTAGGTTTGCCCACTAGTGTAAAATGTGTTTTTTGGCAATTCAGCAATTGCTGGTCTGCAAAACTGAAAAATAGAAGTTTGCTAAATGGAGCATGGAATGCTGCTGAATGCAGAGCTGTTTAAAAGAAACTCTGAACTGTAACAGATGCGGTACAGGTTCTCTCTGTTTTTGTATTTTAAAAGTCAAATCAAGGAATTGAAAATGTTTTGGATTTTATTCAGACCCTACTTTAGCAGCATCTGCCTTGCCTGGGGGAAACAGTTCTGACTAAGGTGGTAGGCAAAGGGCTCTTTTCCAAAAGGATTTAGATATTTAATATAGTTTGAGATGCTTCTGTCTAAAAATAAAGATCCCCAAAATCTTTATGCTGTCCTAGGGAACCTGAAAACATAACTCTAGGCCTCTAGCAATTATATCAGAGCTCTGCATGAAATGGTCATGGCTGCTTTTTAACCACTAAGTTTTTTAAGGCGATATAAAAATATTCATAATTCTTTATCTCTCAAGTACATTTGAATTTGTGAATCTCACTTCCCTAGAGAACATCCTGAGCAGCTAACTAGAGCATATCCTGACGAGGTACTCTTTTTGTTACTACTCTTCCAGGCTCAAAGTAAATTACGTGTGTGATTATGAAGGTAAAGACTGATTCTACCTGTGTGTAGTGGTTAAATACTCATTGCAGGGCACAGCTCTTACTCTAGGGGTTGTGAGGTTTATTTTCCTAAGTCTAGTGTTCAATGAACTGTTCAGTTTAGAAAGGAACGAAGCAGATTCAACATTTGGGTCCTTTCTGCATACACAAGCACAAACATACTCTAAAGGCCAAGGTCCACGAGATTTAGCTGAGCAAAACGTTTTGAGACAGCCTTGTTCCACTGCAAAGCCCGTGCTGGCAGTAAGCACCAGCCTGCATAATAGGAAGGAAATACTCTTGTTGCCTGCCTATAAGCAGGTGTTGCATCAGACGGAATGTTTTCATAAACATAGTGTCATGCTTTGTTACATCTTCGTCATTTAAGGGAAAATCTAGGGATAATCTTCTCATTGCCATCTTCTCTGCTTCCAGCTTTCTGAATTACTTTCACTGATTTCATGGCAGGAAATGCTGATCCTGTGTTGCAATATGTGGCCCAGCCTGGAATAGTAATTTCAGTT